CCTGTGGGTGTTTTCAACCTCTGTTCCCTATGGCAGGAAACTCTGAAGTTGGACACTGAGGACATATCCGGGGGGCCTTCACAGGGCCTTGCAGGAACCCCACTGTTCCCAGCTGGCTACTTAGGGCTGTCTCCATGAGCCCCGCTCCCATAGCTCAGTCTCGGGTGAGGGAATAGTAGTCATGCTCACTAACATTCACTGAGTGCTTCCCATGCATCATGTATTTTTAGAGCCACATTCCAATTAGTTCCCACAGCAGCCCAGGGAGAGAACCGTTGCTGCCTCCATTTTATAAATGAGCAAACCAAGCCCCAACGGGGTATCATCCTTGCTCAGCGCTACATAGCGAGTAATGGCAGGGTCTATCTTAGAATCCAGGTGTTTGGACTCCCACATCTGTGCCCTACACACTGAACTTCCTCCTGCCCATGAAGGCCTGGGAGAAACACGGTTCTACCAGAGACAACTGCGTCCTCTCTGCATCAGCTGAAGTGCAGCGGAGCAGAGCCGTGCACAGCCTGGGGTCTGCACTCAGCCCGCATGGATCCTATCATTGACGCCACGGCCTTGGGCAAGGGACTTGGCTTTGCAGGGCCTTAGTTTCCTTCCTGGTAGGAAGGAGATTCTAAGGCCTACCTCCTGGGGTTGTGGTGAAGACTAAGATAATGCACGTAAAATGCTTACAGAAAGGTTTCCCGAAGCATTCCGTGGATGCTATGAATGTCTATGTAAAACCAAAGTGCCTACAGGCTTGTTTTGAAGACTGAAGAAAGGAGATGAGCAATGCGACGGTGTGCACAAGCAGCAGCAGGTCATGCCCAGGGGCTTTCGGCCCTCCCCGCTTCTGGGCACCCCACGTAGACAGAGGATGCTGGGCCACGTTTGAGAACACCATACCATGGAACCTTTTATTAGAACAGAGAGACATGTTTCGTACAGGCTGAAAAATCGGAAACCCCGGGAAGGTTATGCTTAGCTATGGACACCAGAAATCAAACAAGCCACGGCCGCTGTGTCACTGGGTAGAGGACGGGGTCCTGGGATGCTGGAGGACACAGGAGCTTCTCCCCGCTCTGATGTGGATGCTCCAGACAGAGGCTGGCTGCTCGGGCTGAGCTGGGCTGGTGGTGGGTCCCCTGGCATGGGGTTTTCCAGATGGGAATTCTAGCCCCTTGATGTGGAGAAATGGCCTTGGGGTGCACCGAGCCTGCCAGGCTGATAGGGTGGATGCTGCTAGGTCCTTGGCCAATGACTGCTTGAGGGAGCAGCCGAGAATTGAGAGAGAAAAGACCCTGCACAAAGTCCTCACAGCAGGGGCCTGGCGAGAAAGAGCTACCGAGAGAGTGGGGCGTGGAGCCAGGACGGTCTGAGCTCAAGGGAGTTTCGGCAAACCAGATTCCCCCTTCCCGGGCCTCAGTTTTCTCATCCGACAAATGGCAGCATGACCTAGGTCACTGGCTTGTTCGAACAACTGTACAAAATGTGGTCTGACATGATGAACAGTGGTGAACTCCAGAGAACAGCGAAGCCTTCTTGGTCTCTCCTTTGATAACGGCTGGGCTTGGAGAGAAGGTCAAGCTAAGATAGAAGGCTTCTTTGACCCAGGCTACAAGAGTTACATCAGGTGGCAGCATCTGGAGGCCTCCCATTTTTGACTGCAGGACTCAACTATTACCACCTTACCCTGCAAATGAGGTCCATGCCCTGGTGTTTTATTTCCTTCCTTAGGAGACATCCTTCGGCCTACAGTTGGCAGAAGACACCAGGGACCGTATACCTGAGAGTTTGGAGCTCACAGCATCAGAGGTGGAACCCCCGCCCTCTCCCTTGCCAAGAACACTTAGGCCAAGTCCCATTTTACAGATGATAACACTGAGGCCCGAGACCCACTCCATTTCATCCAGACACACACACACACACACACACACACACACAGGCCAGAGAATCACAAAGGAATGTTATTCCAGTCTCTTTGGCTCAACTTGTTAGAAGATGAGGCATATCTTTTCTTGGCCAGAGAAAAGGAATTACAATTCTCTCTCTCTCTCTCTTTTTTTTTCAAGGAGTTGTGACTTTTTAATAGAATTTGGTTCGTGCATAGGCATTTTATTCTGCAATTAATTTCCATCAAAATGAGGTTTTCCCGGAGATAACCAGTGTTTTAGTTCCATTTGAACTTAATTTGTATGACTGAAGACTCCGTTTCTGCCAATTCCAATTTGCTGGGTGATTCTAGCACTCATTACCTGGTTGATAATGCCCCTTGCTGCAGACAGCCGCACCCAGAGCTGGGAGATCACTGATTTCCAATAGCAATTCAGGGGAAGAGGTAGTCCCTCTCCTCTCCCGATACCACTCAATAAATAGGCAATAAATTATTAAATAAGCATGTTCTGACGAGGGGCCCCCCATCATGGTATTTACAATGCAAAACAACTCCCCCCCAAAAAAACCCTCAATAAAGAAAAAAAAGCCCAAAACGGCAGCCACAGAGGGGAGATGCCAAGTCTATCCGTATCACTGGCTCATTGGTGCAGAAGTGAGGAGGAAGAGGTTGCAATAAAGCATTGCTTGATGACACTGGATGTAGCATGAGCTCCTCAGCTGGATGCAGCTGGCTAACGGAGGAGGGAGCAGTTTGAGGAATGCTGTTTGTTTTTTAATCAAACTTTTCTATTTAGCTGGAGAGTGAAGCAAGGCAAGACCCATGCTTGTGAGACTACTTTGAATATTCGTTGGAAAGAATACAGCGGAAGAAATGATGGGAGTGGGACTTAAAAAAAAAAAAGTGCTTGGGAACCTTTGGGAGCACCCAAACGTTGGTCCTCTTCAAGCAAAGCCTTTGGGGAAGAGGATGGTTCTGAGCTCATGGATGATGGGGGCTCTCTGAGACCAAGACCCTTGTGTCTTTCAAACATCTTAAATGTCGTTTGGCTTCTGAAATATTGCCTTTCCTTCAACAAGGGAAGAAACAGAGATAGGAAGGCAGTTGATCCTCGAGGAACTAGAATGTTCCTGGATGGGGGCTTTGAGGGAGTTAGCTTTTCTTAATTTGACCGAAGGGAACTCACATATTGCTTTAAGTTTTACTCTAATGATTGAGAACCTCCTAAAAAGATTTGAGGCTGTTTTCCTTTTTCTTCTCAATCCTGGTGAACTCACCCGGTCTTTGGACAATTTCCCAGGCCTCAGGTCAACATTCTGGATTATATCTCAAAAACTCCGCCACTTCTCAAAGGGGTAATTTTTGGCTTGGAAAAATTGAGCGATCTGTCCAGGTTCATTCATCCAGGAAGGCTGCATGTTTGCTGGGCCGTGTGCCACACCCCCCAATGCTGGCTTTTAAAAATAAGTGCATACCACACGCAGGTTTCAGGCAATTTGTCTCATTCCCTGGAAACAGAAGGTAATGTGGGCGAAGTAGGCAGAGGAACACTGATGCCAGGAACGGGGGGCTCTGGTTAAGCAAGGTTACCAGCACCTCAACAAGCGTTTTATTTTTGGATGCATAAGAAAGGAAATGTAAGGGAAATTGGAGAAGCATATCCGGCAAGAGGGAGGGACAGAGATTCCCTCCCTCACCCCCCACCCCAGGAGGCATTTAAACAGCCTTCTTGCAAACTTTCCCCTGGCTGGGGGTTAGAGCTGGGTAAAATCACATTGCCAGGGAAACAACCAGGGATGTTGCAGAAATCTCACCAAACTAAAAGCTGGACCCAGAGGAGCTGGCGATTTCAAGGCAGTGAGTGGTGACTTTGGAAAGGGTGGGGCCCCCTCTGGGAAGCAGCAAGAAGACCCTGCAGTTAGAGGCAGGACTGGTAAAGGCCTCTAGATCCTGGCTCGATGGGCCCCGAAATGACCTTCTTGGGGGAACCTCTGGCTGCTCCTTTCCTCTTGTCTTCCCCGCCCCCTTTGTCTAATTTCTGAAATAGCTTTGCACTCTCCTCTGATGGAAAGCAAAAGATCACAGTAAAAGGCTTTTTGCATTGGGTCTGTGTCTCTCTCTTAGGATGGTGGACACTGCTCCGGGAAGCAGTGTGCGTCCACTGCAGAAGGAATAGAACAGCCTGGAAAAACCTCAGGGGATGGGGAGAAATGGGCTACAGGGGAGGCGGAAGCATGTATAATTTACACGGAACCAACCAGGCATGCTCCGAAAAGCTAGTAGGGATCCTGCCCACTACCGTATGCCCTGGAGTGAGGTGAGAGACCACAGGTGCATCTTCTCTCCCCTCAGCCAGCTTAATTCTTGCCATACTCTCCTTGTCAACTCGAAGTTCAATCCTAGTGCTAAACCAGACATCATCGCTTTAACCACCATGACCGCCCAAACCCAAGGTGGCTACTTCAATAAATACTGAACAAAGCCTCCTCAGTTGGCAAGGGCCAGTATCGCTGTCTCCCAGCAGGTGCCTCCCTACAGCGCTCACACCGAGATTTCTGACTCTGCAAATTTTGCCTTAGTTAGGTTATGCTAACTTTGGACTTCAACCCCCACGTGAGCTGTGACTCCACTGTACCGTTTTGGGGCCTTAGCTCACAAAGCTCGTGGCTGTTCTTCATCTTTCTGATACCTCAGTGCAGCTGGTGGGCAGGGTGCTGGGGCGCAAGCCTGAACCTCACTGACATAACGATGAACCTTGGGTCTGAAGTGCTCCCCCCACCCTCCCAGGCCAACTCCAGGATGTTTGGACTTAGAGATCTGTGGGTCTCCCCTGCAGGGACAAAGCCAACATCCCTACTCAACACCCGACCTCTCAGATTCCACCCACAAAGATATAAGGGAAAAAAGATGCGCAAAAATAATTTAGAAGCCCCCCCACCCCGAAACACACACACACACACACACACACACACACCTCTCCATATAAATAAATAGTTGAATACTGCTAATGGCAACTGAGAGAGAGAGAGAGAGAGAGAGAGAGAGAGAGAGAGAGAGAGAGAAGTCATCACATAAATAAATAAATAAACATAAATAAATAAAATAAATAATAGGTTTGCTAGGAGCCCCAGGCAAAATGGTCCCCTAGAGTTGTCTGAAGGCAGTCTGATGGGAGGCTCTTGGGCCTCTCTCACTGCTGTCCCGCTAATGAGGTTCCGTGGCTCCATGATGGGAGACTGGAGCCCAGTTTGCGTTCCTGGGCAGGGAAGAGGGTTATTTACAGTTGCTGTACATGCCCTCCCAGGGCACCTGCCCCTGTCCCAGGCACCTGCCATCCGGCCTTCTGCGGTGACAGCGTCGGCATCCGCCAGTCTGGGCGGGTGGGGCCCAGGGCTGGGCCAGAGGGCATCATGGGAAGGCCAGGTCGTCCAGTGCTGTCTGGGGCACCTCGCTTTCGGCTCTCCTGATGGAGGAAGGACTTGTGGGTGGTTGCAGGGCAGTTTCTGGCCCCATGGGCTGATGTAATGGGAAAGATTGGGAGTTGGGGGGACAGGTCACTGCTTTCGAGAAAAAGGATTTTTTCGTTCCAGTGTTTTCCTTCGGGTGGGAAGGATAAAGAGTGTTTGGTCCCTGCTTCCCCGTAGCCGGCCCCAGTATCCAGAGCTGGGAACTGTCCCCCCTCACGATCCCCCTCCGTGCCCTGTCCCGCTGCCCTTGCTGCCGCAAACTTGAAACTCACCCACAAGGCTCCGGAAAACCAGTCAGCTGGTGAGGGGGATGCCCAGGGGTTTATTTTAAGGATCCTCTCCCTCACACCCCTGTTCTCAGTGCCTGCTGTGGATGAAGCAACTGGTGGTATTTGTGTGTTGGAGATCAGCTTACCCGTGCTGCCCAGCCCCGGGCGGAGGGACGATTGGGGGAGGGCCGAGATGAAGGTGGGGCTTGAGCTGACAGAGAAGCCTCAGAAGCCAGGAGAATCCCAGGCTCTGGAGTACCCACGCCCCTGTCCCCTCACACTCTCTGGATTTGGGTCTTTCCCCCCAAAACCGGAGCTGCTGTGCCCCATCCTGGCAAAATTCCTGAGAGGCAAAGGGGTTGGCTGGGGCTGAGGGCGGGTGAGCCGATGCTCGGCTGCTTTGGGTGGGCTCCAGGGTGTGGCCGTCGGGGCCGCGGGGGAGGGGGCAGGCAGGCAGGCACCAACGGGAGGGTAAGGCCAGACTGGCCGGCGCTGGGGACTGGCAGCTGGCCATGGCACTGGGGGATGTTCAGCAGATGGTCTCGTGGAATTAAGCTGGTGCCAGCTAGTGGGGGCTGAGGCAAATCTGGGCTGTGGGGCTGTGGACCAAGGTGTCCTGTCTACTGTGTCCTTTCTCAGGGAGGTTCAGGGGCCCTGTGAACAGCCAAGAGGCTGTCGAAGCCTTGTGGGGGCCTCTCCATTGCTAGAACCTACTGGACTGCTTTTCCTGACCACGCCAAGATAATGGGGGGGGGGTGCTGCAGAATGACCCCTGCCCTTTTGCGTCTATGCTCACAACCAGAGAACCCCTTTCCTCTCTCCTGACACTTCCTCCCCACTGAAACCTCCGTGATCCCTACTCAGATCCCTTCTCTCCCCCCTCTGATTGCCTTCTACTTCTGCTCCGGCCTGTTTCGTGGGGTGTGTGCGTGCGTGCGCGTGTGTGTGCGTGCGTGTGCGTGCGTGCGTGCGTGTGTGAAAGGCCTGACCCCCTCTCCTGGGCCTAACTGCCCTTGGTTTCCTCTCATCACCTCCCATCCCACGAGGGTTCACACACCCGCTCAGGAGGCTGAATGAGGGGAGAATGAGGGCAGGTGCCTCCATAGGCATCCCAGGAGCAGTGGGTGAGCAGAACTCTGTTTTCCTGGCTAGGCCCAAGCGTTGGAGTCACGGACCCATTGCTTCTTACAGAACCTTGAGGTTTTTTGTGCCAACAGAGGGTGGTTCTCTCCATCCGCCCAGGCCCGAGTTGAGCCCCGGGGGTGGTGCTGGTGGAGGCTCCTAGCGGCTTGACATAGAGGCTGAAGGCCCCGTACCCTCTTTTCCTCCTCCCCAGGAGAGCAGGAAGGACAGGGTCCAGGAGCCCGCAAGGTCCGTCCCCAAGGAGAAGGCAGGGTGGGCAGGGAAGGGGGAGAGGCTGGCAGAGTGAAAGGGGCCCCGCTGCAGGCAGCCGGCTCAAGGGAGGGCCCTTGCTTAGCGCCTCGTGCTGGAGTAGCTGTCTGCTGAGCTGTAGCTCCGGCTCCGGCTCCGGCTCCGGGAGCCCAGGCTGGGGCTGCGCGAGCTGGAGCCACTGCTCGTGCGGGTCCGGCTGCGGCTGCGGCTGCGGCTGCGGGAATAACTGCGGCTGCGGGAAGAGCTGCGGCTGGCCGAGCGGCTGCTGCTGCTGTACCAGGAGGAGGCGCTGCTGAGGCTGCCGGATGAGGAGGGGCTGGGCCGGTAGTAGGGGATGGGGCGTTTCCGGGCACTGCGGAGACCAGACGGAGCGCGCTTGAGGACCAGACTCCGCCCACCCCGGCCCCGGGGGCACCCGCCAGCTTCCGCAGCCTCCCGGCGGGAGGGGAAGGCAGGAGAAGGGGGAGCAGTAACTTCCACCTCCCAGGCCCCTGGGGAGACCCTCCGCCTACGCTCCTCGTGCTGTCCCGAGCACATCCAGGGGATGGTCTCAGCCTAGTGCTGGGGTCTTGAGAAGTCACCGATCTCACTTTTTAATAAAGCAAGGCTGGGGCTCAGAACCTCCAGCTGTCAATAGGATCTACACCTAGACTCTAATTGCAGTTTTGTTGTGCTACTTTTACTTTTACTAGAACCTTCTATTTACGGTAAGAGAGGCTGGTTGTCCATTTACTATAGTGTACTGTGGTGTATTCCTTTTGAATTAAATGTATGGACCTCTAAGAAAGAGCATATCTATTTAAAGAAAATTAAGTAAGCTACAGTACGCTTACTAAACAGACAAGTCAAAAGTGCTCAGATGCTGCGGGGTGACTGAAGTTTGGGAAACACTGAATGGGTTCATCAAGATGGACTATTTGAGGTTGACTAAGGAAACAAGAGGGCCTTTTAGAAATGCCACTCTGTTTATCTCAGCCTTCCTCCAAGTCAACCTCAAGGACACCTCTGGTCAACGCGGTGGGTGTAGGACTTCCTGTGTACCAGGGTGTTCTGTGGGATATCTGAGAAGGTGATGCTTTATCCCCATCTTATTGTTTGGGGCACAGGTGCTTTTTCCTCCTCCAGGTCATCTCTAGGGAGGAGGCACTAGGCAGCCAGGAGGACACCCCAGCCCCAGTCCCGTGAGTCTCTGGATGGAGTGGCTGACCCTTAGAGGGCCAGGAGGAAGAGCCCGACTGATTGTCAGCAGCCAATTTTAGGGCAAGACTCAGCCATTCTTACTGCTTTCCAGGCCGAAGAAATACGTGTCCACTCGGACCTCAGGCTTCTTTTCTAGGGCTTTTCTCATCTAAGACTTTACCTGTTACAGGAAACCTTATCCACCTAGTCTGACCATTCAGTCCGAAACAACGGCACACTGAGGGTTCTAGTGTTCTGCATTTCAGTTTACAAAGTGGGTTCCCATCTCTTTGCCCCCTTGCATTTCATCTTTATGATACTCCTGGGAATTATTTCCTTCCATACTTCATGGGTGAGGGCTGAAGATCTGGGAGGTGAAGAGACTTTCCCAGCTTACCTGAAAAGTGGCACAGCCGGGATTCCACTCCAGAGCCCCTCACCCACCTCTCCCCCTCACCCACCAGGGCTCCCTCTAAGTCCCTTTGGCACCTAAATGATCCTTCTTGCCCTCTCCACACTTGGTGCAGGGTGTGATCAGGGTCTATTAATGCCTTGTTTGTGCGTCTGAGCGTGATCTGTCCCCACTGCTTTGGCCCCCGTTGCCTCGACGTGACCTCCCAGCCCCCTCCGCAGACCCCGTCCACACCCGGATTCCTCAGGCTGGTCCCACCCCTGTTCCAGGCACCCATCCTAGCCCCGCCCCGGAGGCCCTGCCCGCTCCCAGCAGAGCCCGCAAAGTGTGTCTGAGCTCCCACAATCCTGAAATCCAGCTCCAAGGGGGCACGGGGAGAACCCGGGGCCCCAGCGGGTGAGGGGTGGGAGTGAGGGTGAAGGTGGGCACCCCCGGCCCTCCTGGCCTTACCTGGTTATCCTCCGCGCCTCCAGGTGGCTCGGGGAGTCTCTCCGGCGCTTCCGCATGGGCGAGTAGGACCGCCGTCTCCGACGCGCTCGCTCGCGCTCCCGCTGCTGGGAGTCCTTCTCATTGTACTTGGGGTCCCGCTCCCTGAAGGGATGCGGGGGTTACTGGGGAGCTGGGAGATCCGCATGAGCCAGGGTCACTCACTTCCTCTCCCCTGCGCCCTGCACCCCACTGGGGCAGTGGGTGGTTTCTCCCGGGGCCCCAGGGAATGCGGGAGGGAAAAGGACAGGGCTGTGGTTCGATACTGGGGGGGGGGGGCGGGCGTGTGCCCGGGTGTCAGCCTTCGAGGGTGGGCATTACAGGGGCGCGGGTGCTGCGGGGGTGAGAATGCGGACGTCAAGAGGGCCCTGGCGCATGCGTAAGAACTGGGGGCTCTGAATATGCGGAAGAAGGGTAGTATTAGGTGTGTGAAGAGGCTGAGGGCCGGGCTGTGAATTCTGGGGTGTGGCTCGCTGTATATTATGGGGGTACGTTAGGACTCAAGGATATGTTTGGGGGCCCAAACATATCCACTCCAGCGGAGACGAAGAAAACTACAAGGATGCTGGGTCGTCTCCCCATCCCTACTCCTGCAATGCTGGACGATGGGGGAGCAGGGGCGGGGCTTGGGTGAAGCTCCCCATAGAGGTGGGTGGGGGAGGAGGCCGGGGGGCGGGGCCTGTGCTTGGGGGCGGGGCCGGTACCTGTTAGGGCTGTAACGCGAGTAGCTGGGGCTGCGGCGCGATCGGGAGCTTCTGCTGGGTGGGCTCCTCTTGCCCGACTTGGAGGAATAGCTGGAAGAGCGCGAGTAGGACCTGCGGGAGAGTAAACAGTCCCCGAGGGGCCTGCTGGGCTTCGACGGGGTCGTCCCGGATGTGTAGGGCTTTATGCAGCGGGTCCCCTGAGGGAGACCTTCTTCTTTCAGGACGCCAGGCCGAGGAGTCTGGCCCTCTCCTGAGAATGAAATTCCCTCTCTTCTGGGCGATTAATAATAATATTGACAACTTCTTCTTGAATTCTTACCATTTAAGGCCACTTATTAGCTGTATGACCTTGAACAGGTGATTTCACTTCTCTGGGCCTCTGTTTTCTCATCTATAAAATGGGGATAAATAATCGTACTTACCCTATAGCGTTGTAAATTAGATGAGTAAGTTAGAGTCAATCACATACCTCACAAATTAGGGTCTCATTAGGTTCAATGCACACAGGAAATGTTAGCTATGACTGTGTATTTTATTACATGTCAGACATTGCACTAATGCTTTGTGTGCATTTTCTCATTAAATCCTCAACACATCCTAGGGTTAGGTACTATTATCAATCCCATTCCACAGATGGGAAAACCAAAGCACAGAGAGGTGAATGTTTTCACTTTGCAGATAAGGAAACTGAGGCTCAGAGAGGTTATTTGAGACCCAGGGCCACCGGCTAGGAACGGGTATAGTGGGCATTCAAAACTCAAGTCCGTCTGACTCCTTCCCCGCCCCCTGCCCCCCGCCCCCAGGGCCAAAGGCCATCTCTGGTTACCATAACTAGCTCCCTAAGGAGGAGAGCGCTGCAGAACAGAGGTCAAAGTGGCACTCACCTTTTTCCAGAGGAGGTGGATCGGCTTCGGGTGTACCTGGGGGAAGCCCTGGGGTTTGGGGATCGGGAGGAGTGGCTGGAAGAACGGGTGCTGGCATAGGAGGGGCTGCGGGAGCACCCTCTCATGGGGGAGCTCCGGGCTGTGGATGGGACCAAACTGGACTTCTTCACTTCTGCGCATTCCAGACATGGCGACCGAAATCCTCTGCAGATGTGGGCAGAACGCCTGTTAGCAATGGCCTGCCCGCTGGTCTGCAGGCATCTGGAGCTGATACTCCTCTCCCTACCTGCGCCTAGGCTGTGGTACTCTCAGAAACCCCTTTCCGCCTATTCCCATCTTACTGCCTCGAGGAAACTTTCCAGGCCACAGATGTCAGAGGAATAAGGACAGAGGGGGACACATACCACAGGGGGCACTTTGGAGCATTTTAGGTCAGTGGGCATGGGCATAATGGCAAATAACACCAATCACAAAGAGATTTATTCCCTTTTGAGTCTTTTCCAGTCCTTCTGATTACATTAATGGGAAACTCCGGGTTGGGTACTAGTGGGTTCAACACTGCCGTCTCCCAGATCTGGTGCCTTGGGCAGGGCAACTGTTGCTAACTAGAATTAAATACACCATCTTTATGTATTTTCATATATAAATCATGTATTTTGCAGGTGCTTTCTATTTAGGACGAGTGCTATAAATTTTCTAGGTAAGATAGTGGTGTAAGTTTCCTTGTATAAAAAAGTGAGTTTATTAAAGTAAGAGTACCAGTAGGTACAGGGATATGGCTAAAATCAACAAGGGGCCATATAGGTGGTTTACATTTGGGAAACTTTGATGTAGCCCATTTTGCAGACGGGGAAACTGAGACCCAAAGAAGAGTGAAGGCTTGTTCAAAATCACCCAATGACAGGGTCCTGTCTTCTGTGCTCCCACCCTGCCGGGAGCCATGTGAAGCTCCTGTTGGGTTCTCAATAAGGGCATGTTCATTTGGTTTGGGCCAAGAGTCAAATTCTAATCCCGTTAATATATGGTTTCCATGCTCATCATGATCTGGCCCCTGCACACCCCTCCAATCTCAGCTCTTGGCACTTTCCTCTCTTGACTCCAGCCATAATGGACTACTTGTTCCTCCTGAAATATCCCTGTTCCTTCCCTGTCTCCAGGCCTTAGAACATTCCCACTGCCTGGAGCCCTCTTCCCTTCCCTCCTCACCTGACAATAACTACTCATGGTTCAGGCCTTAGTTCGACCTCACCTTTTCTGGGAGGCCTTTTTTGACATCTCCCTGAGTCTAGTTGGGTGACCCTCAATGTGTTACCACGGCCGCCAGCCTCTATGCACCCCCTGTCCCTAGAAGGACTCACTTGGTCTTACAATTGTCTCTTCCTCCCCCAGTCACTGAACTCCTTGGGGAGAGGACTCAAATCTCTGGAAACTGTATCCCAGCACCTCGGACAGAGCCTGATACCATCTGTTGTCGGTCATGAATAAATAGTTGTGAAATAAACGTTTGAGCCTCTTAGTATCCTGGTGCTCCACCAGCATCATCTTGTATGGTCCTCCCAACAACCCTAGGAAACTGGCACTATTCTCCCCGATTTACAGGGAAGACTCAGAATGGTTAGTTACTTCCTCAAAGCCACCCAGAGTCTCAAACCCCGATCTGTCCAGCTTCAAAGCCTATGCCCCTGTCACCCCACCAGTCCCCTATCTTCACTGTTGAAGGTTCCCTAGATTTAGAGCTGATCATGTCTTTTCCTCTCAGCTCTCTGCTCATTGCTGACATGGCATAAATAGCCATGGATTTAGAGATCACTTATATTTCAAAATGAAAGGCTGGGTCTAAATGATTTAATTTGGCTGTCCATAGAGATCAAATGAAGCAGGTAACTGCTAGATGCCACTCAGGCTTCAGCTTCAATGCTATGACAGATCTGTGTTTGAATCCTGGCGCTGGCCCTTATGATCTTAAGTTTCTTAACGACTCTGAGTCTCAGTTTCCCCACCAGCTAAAAAAGATCTCTGATAATACTTATCCCATAAAGGTTCTATGAGGAGTGAAGGAAGATGATCCATGGCAAGCACTCAGCATGGCACCTAGCATATAATCAGGGCTCAAGACATATGAGCAGTCGTTATTATTATCAGTTGTTATTACTATTACTATTCTGGTTCTCTCTTTTTTTTTTTTTTTTGCCTTGGAGTATGTAAGTAGACACCTGTCCTCCCTGTCTCATCTGGGAATTTCACTGCCTGTTCTCGGAGATACTGACATTTGTTCTGACCCAGCCCTGGCTCCCAGGCAGGCTTGGGTGTGAACTGAGGCCAGGGATGTCCCAGGGCAGGCAAACCAGAGGCTCCGTGGAGATGCTAAGCTGTTTGTCAAGAACTGAAGTGGGCTATGTGTTGGGGACAAAGGGCGCTCTGTCCTTGAAGAAGCCGTTAACTGCTTCACTGCTAAGGCTTTGCTTATCATTCTGACATCTTGGCCACTTTGAACAAAAGCAGACTCCCACCTCCAGAAGAAAGAAGACCCCACGTTAGCATGAGAATGTACCAGCAAATCTCTTCCACCCCTCCTGCATCTGCCTCATTATATGCTCCTGAGGAAAAGGACTGTGCCATTTCCCTTTCTCCAGCACCAGGCTGAGTGGCTGGCTTCTAGGAGGTGCCTGATAACCAGGAGAGGGTAAGTAGCTGAATGAATGATAGTCAATGAGCAGCGATTTCTACTAGCCGTAATTGTGACATTATCCTCGGTGATTAGCATTTTGCTGTGATTTCTTGAATGAGAGGGTAAGGGGGTAATGAAGTAGAGTTTACAAACTGGCTCATAAGCCACTGCACGCAAGGTTCTCTGCAGGAAAACTGCATCTAGCAAGGTGTGAAGGTACACACACTCACACACAGGCACACATGTACACGCCGCAGGTATATGGGAACCCTCTGTACTCTCCATACCCACCACCTCCCCCACTCTCCACATCTCACAAAAGAGCGATACATTGGTTACCACCACTGAACCTCCACTGACACATCATCACGTGGAGTCCGCGGTTTCCATTAGCGTTTACTCTTGTGAACCCAATGGGTTTTGAGAAACGGAAACTATGGATCTGTGCTCCACCTAAGCAGCCCTCTCTAACCCCTGCCCTCTCTACATCTCTACCCACTGCTCTGTTTACTGTCTCCTTAGTTTTGCCCTTTCCAGAATGTCATGGAGTTGGAACTGTACCATATGTAGCCTTCAGACTGGTTTCTTTCACTCATTTAAATTTCCTCCACGTCTTTTCATGGCTTGATAGCTCGTTTCTTTTTAGTGCTGAATAATATTCCCTTGTCTGGATGTACTATAGTTTATTCACCTACTGAAGGATGTCTTAGGTGATTCCAAGTTTGGGCCATTATGAATAAAGCTGCTACAAACATCCAGGAGCAGGTATTTGTGTTGACACAAGGTTTCAGTACATTTAAATGTTTTAACATGACAGCAACTTTAAATGAATTTAATGTTAGACTTTCTCCTGAGATTACTGGTAAAACTGATATTTGTTTTTGCCTGCCCATCTCCATCCTTCCTGATATCAGTACCCTGACTTTTCCTTCAGACAACTGGACCTCCCCCAACTTTTGTGTATGTGGGAAGACTACTCACTAACCCTGATGGTAGCATGTGACATATTCTTGCCAAGAGCACAGCATCTCCTGGGCCAGAGTGACTGGTCCAAGGGTGGGCACGTTTGGCCACCTGGCCCAAGATGGGCCAGGCAGAAACAAGGAGAATCTGCCCTGGTATTTTGCTGAAATTTTTGGGAAAGGGGCATTCTCCTTCCATTGGCTGGCTAAACAGATAGAATGGTTAGCATATGTGAATGCTGTTGGCATATGTGCCCATGCTTTGGGAGGGTCTGCTTGAGAATGAAGCCAATAGAGAGGGAAGCAGAGATGAGAGATGTAATGGGGAAGGCAGAATCTCAAGGATGTATTTTTGAGTCCCTGGATCCAGATGTACCTGAAGCTGATATCTTCGGATTCCCCCCCCCGCCCCCAAATTATGCCAGTTTGAGTTTTCTCTCTCTTGCAAATCAAAGCCTCCTGGGTTAGGGGTGGGAAGTGCATGGGTACAGGGCTAAGGTGAGAGACTGAGGGGGTAGAGCTAAGGCAGAACCCCCCCCCCCCCCCCCCCCGACCCCTCCTCCAGCCCAGGTGCACTGACCTTGACTCTCTGCCCCTGCTGGTGGGGGAGAGATTCTCCAAAGCGGCCCCCTTGTTCTGGGGTGAGGAGGTGGTGAAGGAGTTCCCTGAATCAGAGGTGTTGCCACAGTTGAGCTCCCGGCTTTTGGTGAGGCCCTCACTGGGGCTCCCCTTCTCTTGGCCCCGTGACCTGGCTGAGCTGATTTGCGTGGAGGGTGGTGAAGAGGTGTCATTGCCTGAGTCATACTCCTGGGAGCGTCCTCTGGAGGTGGTGAGCGGGCTGGCTGTTTTGGTAAAGAGGTCAGCTGCAGACCCCGACCCAGTGATCTGAAAGCAAAAACACCCGTTGGACACTGCTGATCGCTGGGCCTGTGCACTGTGTCTAAATAACCAAGAAATGTTTACCGTCATGATGCACTGTAACGAAAGGAAAGAGAGAGAGAGAGAGAGAGAGAGAAGAGGAAAGAGAGACGCCAAAAAAAAACAAAAGCACAAATTCCTGAAAGAATTCCACAGAAAGGAGATATTTTTTTACCCCTTGTTAGAATAACTGGAAGATTTAGGTATCATGCAGAGAAAAAGCATGCGATCCAGATTAAACCAAAGAAAAAGGAAATTATACAAAATTTAATTTCTAATGAATTAACTCAAACAAAAGAGACAACTCAATCGAAAGGGGGGTGTGTCACACCCTTAACCTAAAACAGTAATAAAAATGAAGGAAGGGGAAGGGGAAAAGAAATGGGACAATGGGCATGAAAAACATATATCTTTTAACTTAAAAAAAAAGAGAGATAAAGCCAAAATTTTAAACTTCAACCAAATCCTCAATGAATTTGACTTTTTTTTTTTTTTAAAGAAAAAGTTCCCTGAACAGAACCCTAAACAAATATCGCATGGGGAAAAGAAATGAAATAAAGAGAGTTTTCTTTTTTTTAAATATAAAGTCAAGGTCACAAAATGACATTTTAGTAGTTTTCAACTAAAGGGGAAAAAAAAGGGGGGCAAAAAAAATGGAAGTCAAATAGTCTGACTGAAAACAAACGAAAAAAAAGCTCTCTACGGATATTTGTGTGTGTCCTTTTCCCCCTGGAGAAGGTAGCTAAGGCTCTCGAGTGGCTTCTAATAAATTCTCTCATGTCTTTGCGGATTATATCCACTTACCAAGCAAGAGCTCCTCCTTTAGTAGGTAGGTAAGGTGTAAGAGAAAGGGAAGAGCGGGCAACGTGAGTCCATCATTAGAGTCGAAAATGACAAGAAAAAACACACACCTTTCTGCACACCCTCACACTTGGCCCTGAGCTTTGAGTTTTGGTTTTTCAGTGTTCCTACTAGGTGAGGCATCAGTTCTCTTTGGTTTTCTCAGCAAGGGGACCTCAAGCCATCAACACTAACCTCGTCAGTCCCTTGGTGCCCAAGTTGGATCAAGAAACCCTTGCTGAAAATGCAGTGGGGCTAGAGCTTTGCCTCTGTGGAGGTGTCAAGATCTCGAGGATGTGCTTGGGACAAAGGGCGTTGGGAGGCACTGGGACATTTGGCCTTGGGGTGAGTGGGAATGGGGAGGTCTTCCCAGAGTCCTGTGTGGGTCTGATCTGGGACAGATGAAGGAGGAACGGAAGTTGAGCCAGCCCTTGGGAAGGCAGTGATGTATTCAGAAGCACAGTGCATGGTTTTCTTTAAACGTTCAGACCAGTGTCACAGCCGTGATGACACCGTGGTCCCTGCCAACAGTAGCGTGCTTATTTAGCTGTGGGCAAGAGGGACTCCTGCCCTGGGCCTCCTCCGGCGATAGCCATCCTCAGGCGATAACCATCCTCAGGCAGCAAGAAATCTGTGGGGCCGGGAGGACACTACCTGGAAACCACTTTCCCTGAGAGCACCTTATGGGTCTCTGAGATCCCAGAATTCTCTGTTTAAATGGCCTCTGAGCCCCGTTCCAGGGTCTCTGCAGGCTCATCCATGGATCTCTTCTACTGGGGACACACCATGCTTCAGGTGTGCACGCTCTCAGGTCCAAGGGTGGCCATTTGGACAGAGCTTCGATGTTCAGGCTGAGGTGTCCACGTGTATGTGGGGGAGGCCCATGGTGTTGGTTGGTGCAAGTGGTAGGAGGAGAAAGGGAGGGGCCAGGGCCTTGAGGCAGGGTCCCCAACCCCCGCCCCCCCACCACACTGCCATGTTGTGGCCGGCCACTCCGAGGGGTGTGAGATTCTAAAATCAAACCTGACTTTCCAGATCCATTTCCAAGGTATGTTTGCCAAGACAGGAGAACATATTATGTTTATGTTTGCTGGCTTGATTTATAAACATTGAGACGGATAGTGTGTGGGACTCCTTTTCTACTCTTGCCCTGGGCCCCATGCATATTAGCAAGGCCTCACCATCAAGAGTCTGCTTCCCTCCCACCCCTCATTCCTTGTACCTTGGGCCTAAAGGAGCGGGACTTTGGGGCTTTCTTAGAGAACTGTGTCTGTCTTCTTAGCAATTGGTCATGAAGGTGAGACGCAGAGACACCAGAGCTGCGAGGGTAACAGCAAACTCTGGCAGCTCAGGATGTCAGCTTCTGGACGGGGGAGGCGGAACTTCCTTTGTGCATTCTCCCATGAGGCTTTGCACACAGACAAGGTGATGGTCCAGCTTTACCAAGTTGTACCCAGCACAGCTGCTGCTTTATCTGCCTGGTGATCTGGCGAGCTTTGCTTTGGGACAAGGGACCTCAAAAGTATATTGCTCAACTGGAGTTTTGTTGAGTGAGACTTCTTTAAAAACAATGTAAAGGCCCTGTTCCCATTCAGCTCCTCCTTTTTGTCTTCCCGTCTGCAGTATGAATGCTGTATCTTTCCCCGCTCTGGGAGTTCAATGGCAACATGTGTATCTCTACCACTTCCGTCAGGAATGAGAAAGCATCATGGGGTCTGATGGGTTCTCGGACTGAGCCTTGGTCCAAGGATGGGTATGGATAATCTTTGCCTCAGAGATGGTGAATGTTTGGTGGCCAGTATATCACAAGTGAATTAGGCAAGCCCTTTTGGAGGGGGCCAGGCTGGAAGATCTCTAATGAAGGGGCCTGTGAGTATGACAGCTTCCATTATCTATCCATTATAACTGACTTGCTACCTGGGGGCATCCAGGCTGGCCTTCCTCTCCCCAAGTCCTTGTTCCCAGCCCTGACTACCAATTTCAAAGCATCTGCCCTGGTGCATCATGGGCCCCCATGGGCAAGGATTTCCTGAGTGTGAGCCCCCTCTAGGCTAGTAGATACAGAAGGGAACTCTGCCCTGTTCACCTTCTCATCCCTACACCCTGAGATCACAGACACACTTTCAGCACGTCTCCACCTGACCATGACCATTATCCACATGTAACTTGTGTGATTAGAACTGAGAACTATATCAAGCATCATGCTTTTCCATCCTTTCCAGGAAACAGAGATAAAGGTCCTCTGCAATGTTCTCATTGGGTTGACCCTGGTGCCTGAAAATACCAATATCTCCTGTTTGTTTAAAAGTCCCATTTCTTTGGATGAATATAAATTCTTCGACATGATGACAATATAATTTACAACACAACCTGGAGTATTTCACAGGCCTCATCTCTTCCAAATACCCCCACTGTGGCCCCCATAACCGAAGCCGATCGGTTAGAATTTTCTCGGTTCTGCCACCACAGCTCACTCTCCCAACCCCAGGCCATTTGCACATGCCATTTCCCCTGCCACTCTTCCCCATTACTTCATTTCATATGGCTAAATTTATACATCCTCCAGGTTACATATCACCTCCTCTAGAAAGCCCTCTCTAACCCCCCAGGTCAGGATGGCACAACACTCCATTATTCATTCATTTGATCTTTCATTCATTTTACTCTTTCAAAAATGAGTGGCGGGCACCTGGGTGGCTCAGTTGGTTAAGCGACTGCCTTCGGCTCAGGTCATGATCCTGGAGTCCCAGGATCGAGTCCCACATCGGGCTCCCTGCTCAGCAGGGAGTCTGCTTCTCCCTCTGACCCTCTTCCCTCTCGTGCTCTCTATCTCTCATTCTCTCTCTCTCAAATAAATAAAATCTTTAAAAAAAAAAATGAGTGGCTTCTGTATGCCACAGCACTGTTACTCAGTGGGATAACTGCTTGTTTTATTGCCTGTCTCTCCATCTGAGTGGGAGTCTGTTGAAGGCAGAGGCCATGCATGACCAGTTCAATATTGTGCCTAAGTAACCAAGCAGTGCCTGGCACAGAGTAACTGCTCACTAAATCTGGCTAAATGAACAAAGCTGCTCCATAGCCCCTTACAAGCCTGAGCTCAGAAGCCGGGGCCCATCCTAATTTGATTCAGTGGTTAATATGGCTGAGTGATCAGGCCCTGGTGAGGTCCAATTGGGTAACTGCCAACTTCAGCAACTTGATGGCTTTTTAAAGGAGGGACTGGCCCCCATCATATTCAAAATCATTCTAAAAAACTAGGTGGATTCTTGGCTGACGGCTGGTGTCCCAAGACCAGCTCAGGGCTGGCTGTGTGATCAAGAGATAAACTTTAGAACTGAGTTCCAGGTGCAGGCCTGTGGCAGAGAGAAGGAATACCCTCTGTTCTTCCTCTCCTTCCTGGCCCCGCCTCAGATCCAGCATCCTTAGAGAAAGCCCCCAGAGGCTCTGTCTACACATTCTCAACAGCCTAAGTTCCAGGCTGAGGTGGGAAGCTCCAGATCGAGAAGACTTCCAGATGAGACAAGCTAAGATTGGTCTCCTTACTTCCCTTCCACGGTCTACTACCCTGGGAAGTCAGCTTAAAAAATGGGCTGGGGCTGGCCATTTGCACACAACAGGGCTGTTAGCCTGTACTTTGTTCAGATTATAGAAAGATGCTCCCTCTGGCCAGACAAATCTGAATAGTTTAATGGCCTCTTTGTTTCAGACTCCACCTTCTCCAGAGCTCTTTATTCACTCTACGCAAAGAGGAGGAAATATATCGAGGGGAGCCAAAGACAGAATGTGTGTGTGTGTGTTTGCGGGGGGGGCGGGGAGCTGACAGCCACGATAATGCAGAGGAGACCTTCATGATAGGCCCACAACAGAGGCCTCTGTGTTCTTGTCTCTGCTCCTTCCTAGACAAGTACTCACTCACATAAGATGCCAACAGTTGTCTACTCGTTGACATGACAACATGGCTCCTACTTGCTCCTCATTTACATAACAGCCCTCTCAAAATTCATCTTTGAAGAGTTCTTCATCCGTTGGGAATTTCTCTTCTAAGCATTAACTGACCTTTGCCCTTGTCCTCCCAGCTAGGCTGCAAAACACTGCTCAAGACACTTGCTAGGAGGAGTCATTCTAGA